GCTGAGCTGGTTGCTGCCCATAAGGAGCATCCATATGCTGTTGCTAACTATATTTACAACTTGCAGAGCAGAAACATTGGAGAGACTAGAGCATCAAGGTGACATACTGTAAATACTGCAGAGAATAAGGCATATCTTCAGCACTCACTGCAACTGTCTTCACCTCTATTTGCTTTTTTTTTTACATCCTTGAGACGAGCCTCTATGTGCTCCCAGCTCTCCTTCAAGTCTCAAGATGTACTGTAGGTTTAGAACAGGATGTATTTCCCCCTTCACTCTGAAGCAATGTCCTGTTCTTCCTATAGCTCACTCTTCACTTGCTGTGATTGTTGCATGTTGTCTGAGTGGATATCAGTGTCTGGAACCTGTTGAGTCCTGTGCTGTAGGTTGCACATCACTGAAGCCTTTTAAAGTAGACACACTGAACCAAGGTCTGACTCAAAGAACTACATTTTCTAGTCAGAGAAAATTCTTCTCGCCTTAAAATAAAACATTTATTTCCGAACCAGCAATTCCTAATTTACAGTCAACAGTAGCCTTATAATGACCACATACGTTTCTAAACACTGCAGTACTGACGATTAGTGTTATGGTGCTGTGAAGACATAAACTCATGTATTATTTACTTACATTGTCTCAACAAGAAGACACATATAGAAAATAGTGAAGAAAAATCACCCAGGAGCAGAGGAAGGCCAGAAAAAGAGAAGAAATGAAACAGAGGAAATGAAAGAGAAAAGATATTCCAAGAGGTTGTTGCTGCTAGTGCTGGTTGTGTTCTTTGGTAAGCTGTCTGCAGGGCAAACATCATGGATTCTTAAATCAAAACTAGAAATCTGCCCCCTTTAATTTTAATTTTCTAATTGCTACTATAGCGTAATTGTTGGTATTTAAAGCTTTATGTATAGTAGCAATAGAACATATACATTGTTTGAATTTGAATATTTTGTGTTCTTATCTTCTTCAATCACAATGACGCTAAAAATGATCAAACTTACTGACTATTGACAGTTAAATGATGTCCTGGAACGCTTCAATTGATGAAACCTGCTCAAGAAATGCATCTCATAAGCCAACACATTTATAATAACGATGTTGAAATAAAAACAAAGTGTGCAAATATAGCCTGCGATGTGTTTTTGCACTCAAAGAATGATCATTTAGAATATCTAAGGAAGACTGTTGGTGTATTCTGTGTTGTGTCCACCAGGTGTCGCTGCTGAGCTGCAGGTCGGAGCTGTCCACGGTGCTGAAACGTGTCCAAACAGGGAACAATGTGCTGCTGTGGTGTCAAGTGTAGCTTTGAAGAGCATTTTAAACCTGTAGTTTGCAAGTAAAAAAAGGCTCAGTCGTGATGAACATTGTACACAGTGGTTCAGAATATAAAGGGAGCAACATATCCGTAATAAACTCACCGTCTAACTTATGCGATACTTTTTTTTAGCATGCCTGGATAGAAGTTTAAGCTCCAGTTGAAATCCCTCGAATGAAATCTTTGCTTTTCCTGTCACATCCTCCTTTGCTTTTACAGGCTGGATTCAATATTTGCATAAATGACTGCCTATATTTTCCATTTTTCTCTTTGTATTTCCCGTCTTTTCTTTGCATTCTGCAATCGCAGGCCAACTCAACTGCAAAGTGTTGAAAGGCTGCCTCATTTTCCTCATGGTCGGCTTACATAAAAGCTACATTAATTTAATGGCTACCATAAGGCCACCTCACAGTGACTCAAGGGCACTTGAGGGTTTTTTTTTCTCATATAGTGCACTCTATAGGGCACTCCATCGTGTGTTTCGTTCATTAAACGGGCACTAATTGGGTTATTTTTTATAAAAAAGAAGGTGCACCTAATTCTGCATTTCAGTATGTTATATGAAGAAGACCCCAAATGGCACCTTTTCCCTGTTTTTTCAGTATCAACTTATAGGTCATTGCATTTCATCTTCAATTAAAGACACTTAATTGTGTCCTTTTTGCTTGTGGAGGTGCTTTACAAGGCACTATCACATTTTCTTTTACTTAAAGGGCACCCATGAAGGCAATTTATTCCAGATTGTTACACTATAAGGTACTTAATCCTAATTTACCCACAACTCTGGCAGCCATTATAAGAATCTGGCATGTTTTCTCCTCCGTGTGGGCAGCTTAGAGGGCATTTTATCACAGTTACTCCACTGTGGAGGCACCTGAGAGCAGTGACTCCCAACCTTTTCTTTGTCAGATGTTCCCTCACAGCCCTGTCAGATGAACCTCCGTCATCGACACCAGAAGTCATGTTCTAAATGTGTTAATTTGATTTAATTTAAAACTTTTTAAAGTATCATAACATGTGATTATAATTCATTTTTTATAATGTTAGACAGTCACTGTCCAGGTCAGATTGGTAAACATTTGCATTTGTGTTTCCATTTAACTTTTTTTTTTTTTTTAGTTGACTATTTCTTGGTTTGAACTGTCTATTTCAACCATACTTATTGCATTTACCTATTGATTTCTCTGCTTTTGTGATTTTTAATCAAATTGCAGTTTCTGATTTTCCACATTCGTTAAGTTTAAGTTGTAGTTGCTTCAATTCTTACCAATGGATGAGGATTTTCTCCTAAATTACGAAGCGATGAACGATGGATCTTACTTCACAAGTAATTTTGATCAATACAAACTCTTACTTCTGCATAAAATGAAATTCATTCTTAAATTCTGATGTTGCTCTCACAGTAACTGCAGCGTAAATGTTAGATAACACAAACAGCAATTATTTTCAGATAAAAACAACAACAACACAAAAATGTATTGGTTATCGCCAGTTGATTAAGAATTAATGGGTTTAGGAAAAATCCCAGTTG